TTTCCCAAGGACACAACGTCGGGCCCTTGACGGGATTCGAACCCACGACCTTACGGTTGCGAGTCCGAGAGCCTAACCACTAGGCCACCGACGCCACATGAAATGATTGGTTGTTTCCTTCCTTTCCTTTTATTTTTAAATGATAATCTTTCCACCTCTGTCACCTTTATACAATATTTCTTTTCTCCTAAAGAGTTTTTAAAAAATGTTTTATTTCAATTCTGGAATTCCGAGTCAAAAGTTTGTCCTCCTTTGGACTCAACAAAATTTAGCGCGTCGTTCGAGAACTGAACTCACACCTTCTGCGTGCGGAAGTGAATCACCTAACCGCCACACAACAGACGCCTATAAGCGTAGCGTGAACCTGTGCAAAAGGTCAGGGTGTTGAAAGTGAAATGTCCAGGCAATAATACGGTGGGATGGGATGTTTGTCCTGGGGTCACTCTGTACAAGGCCAATGTCAACAAATCATCACCCTGTGCGCAGTGCGCTTGGTTCATCTGTCAGTTATATATTCATAGACTATAAAATTCTAGACCATCCACTGTTATGACCGTTCATATATTATTTTAATTAGCAGTGCTCTAAGTTTTACTACTAATCAGAAGGCGTCAATATCATAGAAATGGGCAAGGGACAAATAAAAGCAGTGCTCTAAGTTCATCTGTCAGTCAGTTATATATACTCATCGACAATAATATCCTATAGACCTGCCACTGTTAGGACCGTCCATAGACTTGAATTAAAATACTTAACCTTGATTGGTCCTTGTCATGGTCGTCCATAGACTTGAATTATAATACTTAAGCTAGATTGGTCACTGTCATGGCCGTCCATAGACTTGAATTATAATACTTATCCTAGATTGGGCCCTGTCATTGCAACCGGATTTTGCTCTCTGAAAATACAGTGTACTTTTCTGCGCTAATGCGCCCAATGGACGCCCACATGAAGGAAAAAATACTTTCGCTAAAGTTGAGTGCATATGTGCAAACTTTCTCCCCTTACCCTTCATTTGGTTCTAGTTCTGTGGCAAGCTCTCGACTGTTGTAATCACAGAAAGCAAAACATTTTCAGAAGAGAGAAAGAAAGAAGCTTTTTCATTTTTTACAACTGCATTATGAATATTTTCTTACATTTTTTTTCTCCAACATTTAGAACTTGAATATCGACCAAAATATTTCACAAGTAGTACAATGTACAACGCACTCGATTCGGTAGTTTAAGAGAAAACTTTCTTTTTCTATTACCCCCCCCCCCCCCCCTGCCTTTTTTTTTTAAGTTAAGAATTGTGGGCTTAGTAATAGTACATTCTTTACATGAACAGATGTCCGACCCTTTACATTTTGCGCCCATACATCGTGCAGGTCTGAGCTCAGGTGAGAAAATGCTACGCCAGTGATGTACATTTGGCCCGGCTAATGATCATCAATCCATTACTCTGGAAAAAATAAGAGAATAATGATCAGTCGCATAGCACATTATGAGGTCAAATGGTATACGGACTTGGAATTAATGGATGTAAAATAGTGTTGGGGAATAGCGTAAGGTCTCTAGAGGTAATGAGGTATTGCAAATTCCACGAATTCCATAAGCGAGCAAGGACAAGCGTTATGTAAAAAGAGATCCATTATTATTATTTCTATTATGATTATGATTATAACTATTGTTATTGTTGTTGTTGTTGTTGTTGTT